AGAGAGAAGCAGTTTGGAATTTCACCTGTTGCCACTGACAGTGTCAGTTAATGGTAAGACTGAAGGTTCCCAAATGCCAGGCCTTGGGAGTGGTCATTCGCTCTATGAGCAAAGAAGACTGTGCAACGCCATCTTACAAGCATGCTGCACCTGAAGGAGGATTTGATTTTATTGTTTGAGTTGCTCTCCTAACAGCTTATCTTTGTAGCCTCCCATAGAAGAGAGACTAGGATCTAAGGGCTGGTGCTGGAAAGCAAAAACTAATATGACATGAATCTAAGTCTCTGTCCAACCTGTGAGAGTCTGCAGTCGTTCCTGGTCAAGAAATTAAGTCAGTGTCAAGCCTAAACAGAAGACTATATTTCAATCATGAATTCTTGGTTTGAGAAAAGTGTAGGAGGGTTATTAGAACTTTTAAAGGTTCTGTTTGGGCAAAACTGCTGGCAGTGGTAAAGAGAGGTGACTTTCTTTTGTCTCTTTTTTTTTTCTAAGACTTAGAATGGATTGGAATGAAATACAAGATACCAAACCTATGTGGCCATGACTCCCTGGCCATCTTTGAGCTGGAAAAATTGTCCATAAAGTCTACTCCCTGTAGTGAACTCTCAGACCAAGAATCAGTTGTTGGACCTTAGAAGTCTCTCAGCATACACAGTAATACAGTAATGACTTTGACCTTCTCCTTCCCCAGTCTTAATCAATTATGCCTTAAAGAAGAATACTTTTAAGTTAAATACACACACACACACACACACACACACACACACACTAACATTTAATTTTAAGCTTTTCCTCTTTCAAACTAAAACCAAAGAGTCTTTTAAATGATCGGGGCCACAGTGGGGTGGAGGTGGGGGCTGGTACACAAATGAGTAAACCAACCTGCCTGACCTGCTCTCTTGTTTTTAAGTATCCAGTAATATGATCATTTTGCAATAAATAACTGAACCTACACCTCTGGGAAATTCTGGGTCTCTGCTTCTTTAATTGTGGCTACTTTGTTCAGGTGTGTAGGCAGTGCCATTCCAGGCAAAGAAACCTGATCAAATTTCCTTCCTTCCCATCTTATTTGTATTCTTTATGAAAAGCCCCAGCAGTTGTTTGAAACAAGTCTGGCCTCTGGTTAAAGTTTAAACTAGTAGTGAGATCCATCTCAAATGGAGTGTTTGTGACACTTTTTGCTGCTCCTGGCCTAGGGTACTAAGAGTATTAGACCCCAGAAGCAGCCAATTTTGTAGTGCCTTTTAATACACAAAATTGTATTAACATCAACATGGATACAGATGGATGCACTGCAATAAACTGTAACCACTTGAGAAAAGCCTTTATTGACTCTCAAGTAAATAATGCACATTTTAAAGGATCTAAATATGCATTTACATAATGTGCTATAATTTTTTATTTTGTCAACTACTCACACACACACATCCATAAGAGATGTTTTTCTCTGTCAAAAATTTGGACTCATACCATTTTTTATGCATTGCATTAGCACCATGCCAGATTCACAATGGTAGTTTCTCTTCTCTAGGACCTGAGCTGACCATCTCCAATAACAGTTAGTGAATTTTGCTGATTGAATAATTGGTTGGTTAATTTAACCCCAGTGACACTTTCTAAAATAATTTGTGACCACTTGTTCAAAAACTTAGGCACACTAAAAACATCTAATCCAAGATAAAAGAGAAATGAAATAAAGAATAAGGAAAACCAGATTTTGACATGGCTAGAATCTTAAATCTGAGCTTTAGAGCAATGGAAAAACCCAATGCAGTCTCATTGTTCAGGGAAAGAATGCTACGAGAAGGTTATCCAGAGAAATCACATGTATTTAATAGTACTCCCTCATGGAGCATGTGGTAAAGAATCTGCCTGCAATGCTGGAGACACGAGTTCAGTCCGTGGATCAGGGAGATCCCCTTGAGAAGGGAATGGCAATGCACTCCAGTATTCTTGCCTGGAGAATTCCATGGACAGAGGAGCCCAGTGGGCTACAGTCCATGGGGTCACAGAGTTAGACATGACTAAGCGACTAACACACACACATACACAGACAACATACTTTGTGATGTGTGTAACACAACTGTTTTCTGTTTGAAGAAATGAAAGCACAGGGTCTTGAATGATTTATATCCTGTTCCAGTGAACTAGTGGCTGAAGCAGACATCCAAGGCATGAGAAAATAGGGGTTGTGAAGAATGACCCTTTGAAATGCAGACTCAGCAGGTGTCTAGTTTGAATCTACAGGCTAAATGATTTCCTGGTATTAATTAAGAATTAATTGATTCTTATAAATCAACCATTATAGAATTAACTCCATATAGTACCATATGTTTTCAGGTTTGTGTTACAATAAACTGTATGACACAAGGAAAAGGGGAATAATTTTTTTTTTTTAGTAACATGTAACAAAGAAACTAAGGTCTACATTTTAGTTGTTAATGATTTTCTTTTACATGTTTATCAAAAACAAGAACAACAGCAACAGAAAGGGCAAGGGTGTTGATTAAACAATTAAGGGAGGAATTTCATGGTCCCGTTAAATTATTTCCTCTATCAGGTTTCTTTAACTTTTATCTGTCCAGTCTTTGCTCAAGTAAATTTTTCCCTTGGACAGCATTCTCTGCTGGCCACCACAATTTCATAATCTCACAACCATTCATCACTTTCCACTTGAGCACCTGAAGCATTGCCGCTTTATTATTAAGGTCTGTTTCCTGTAGGCTCTTGACAATGGAGGTGCCACCTTTGTGTTTGACATGCTGCGAAAGTTGAGTGTATCATTTCATTGTGGTCAGTACATTCCCAGCCTCATTTGGGAAATGCCACATTCCATCTCTAACTAGAAACTATTTGGTCAAATACAGGCCACCGGGTAAAAGTTTCTTTCTACCAGCAAAGACGAGCATACCATATTAGATGAAAAAATTCCTTGGGTTCTTTAAAGCCTTTTGCATCGTAAGAGATGGCTAGAGCCATTTAACTTTCAAGCCGCTGATTTTAACTCAGAGATTATAATGGATTCCAAGATTTATCATCCAGTGTATTAAGTCCTGGGCTTCCCAGGTGGTGCTAATGGTAAAGAACCTGCCTGCCAATGCAGGAGACATAAGAGAACACAGGTTTGATCCCTGAGTTGGGAAGATCCCCTGGAGGAGGACATGGCAATCCACTCCAGTATTCTCGCCTGGAAAATCCCATGGACAAAGGAGCCTGGCGGACTACAGTCCACAGGTTCTCAAAGAGTCGGACATGACAGAAGCGACTGAGCACACATTAACTCCTCCGTTTTACCAGTTTTTTTCTATATGCTCCATGGCTCTTTGCCAGGAAATTTTTTTTAAGTTTATATTTATTTGTATGGCCACTTTATTAATTTCTGATCGTTCATAGTACCATCAGCAGATATTTACTGAGTGCTAGACACTGTTCTGGGGATATGACAGTGAATCCATTAAATGGATAGACAAACTATTTACTAAGATGGTGAAGAGAGAAGAGCCACTACGAATTGGTTTTATTCAAGATGCCCTCAGTTGTAGGACTGAAGACAACTTTGTGTCATTTCAGTGTTGTATCCCAAGCCCATAGTAAGAGCCTAGGAATATTTTTGGATAGATTAAAGGTTGCATGAATGAAGGAATCTTATCAAGTCATCTGCATGGTAGGGACTGTTGCTCCCATTCCAAACTCCTGTTTCTACTCTTGAAAAACTACAGATGCCACTCAAAACCTCAGAGTTCTTGCCACTCCCAATTATTAGTCAGAAAATGCCCCAGTCCTACAGATACAGTAGAGAACAAAGAACCCGTGTCCAGGGATCGATAGAGATGCATCCTTTTTTGACAGTCCTCAGCCTTACTGATCAAATGGTGGTAAGAAGTGTGGCCAGTCTTGCTTACTTGCTCTTCAGTTTTATTGAGTCATTCTCAATGTTAGGAAAGCCTTACTTTCCAAATATTGGGGTATTCGTTTGTTTTCTCTTTGCAGGGGCTCCTTGAGTTTAAAGATTTAAACTGCAAAAAGTAAGGAAAAACAAATGCTCTCATCTGCTTCTACTTGGGAGATGTCTCTCGGCCCTCTTCGGGAGATGAGAGCTGCCGTGTTGGCGTTATTTGGTTTGTGTCTTAAGCCCACATGCCCTTCTTACCCTCCAGCAGGCTTTACCAATCACCCTCCCACGTCAAGGGCAGGAGTCTTCCAGGGCAAAATTATTAAGCACTTCGCATACAGTTTTTTAGCCTAATATAACATTCTTCCTATATCAGTGAAACTCAATGTATAGGTTCAGATATAAGGGAGTGATAGTTGTCTGAGTCTTTCATCAGTTTGTATGAGCAGAGGGCCAGCAGTTTACCAGGGGTCACTGCCTATCTCTTCTGCCTGTGGGTTCCCCTGCTCTAACTAACATCTCCGCATTTCAGAGTTTGGCTTTGAAACCTTCCATGTAAAGTGAGGCACCCAAATTGCCTGGGTTCATTAAGTGATCATTTACTACAGACTTCAAAAAAATTTCATCCTGAATTAGTCCCTAGAAATTTCCTTGAAAGGGGTATAAGAGCTTTAACAATGAATTATTGTCTATGGAATGCTCAGCATGAAAGGGGATCCATATGTGCAAACTAGAATTTGTCATATGTAATGTCAGTTAAATCAGGTCTAATCTACCAAATACATTTTTTATTGCCTGCTTCATTAAAAAGGCTCTTAAGGTAATGAATAATCTTCAGCTTCACCAAGGATTATTAATGCCTTTATAACTCATGTCCACTGAAAATAGAAAGACGGCTTGAAACTCTACCCTAATCTAACCTCCATGTTTGTCTTAGAGCTTTAAGGAAGAAAATCTATCAGACCTCTCCAGTATTAAATGCTGTCACAGGAGCAGTTACTGTGAATTGAGTCAGGAGAAGAAATTTTAAGAGGAAGTTGAATCTGGTTTAAACGCTGTGGCAAAGCAAGTCTTTCTCCGTTAACCCTCACGTTTTGTTTTCCTACAGCAAGTCCACACGCAACACCTTCGACTCTTCATTTTCCGACGTCACCCATCATCCAGCAGCCCGGGCCTTACTTCTCTCACCCAGCCATCCGCTATCACCCTCAGGAGACGCTGAAAGAGTTTGTCCAACTTGTCTGCCCTGATGCTGGTCAGCAGGCTGGACAGGTGGGGTTCCTCAATGTAAGGAAAATTCTCTTTTTTTTCCTCAATTTCTTTAGAAATATTAACCAAGTGTAAAAATAACAAGGGGAGACCTTATGACCATGTGACGTGGTGTTCCAATGTTGTGCTGACTGACCACAGGCAAATGTCATATTTATTCTAGATTGTGGGAAAGTTAACTTACTCTAAGAGGGATTGGCCAGGATTTAAAAACAGTGTTTGTGTTAACTTCTCAACTGTCAAGTTTATGGATATAAATCATCTCAAGGGTGAACTGTATAACCTTCTAAGGTCTGTGGGCAGATAATTCCACCTCCTGCACACTAACCCAAAGGCTCACACAGTTAACAAAACAGAAAGACCAAATAATTTTAAATAATGATTTTGAGTGGTAGGGGGAGGAGGGGGCACAGATGTTTCAGATCAACTAAGTTGATATTTTTTAAAAATAGTCTTCTAACACTTTACATCAAGTTGACCAGTACTTGAACTCAAGATGCTCAAAGTAGTTTATTATAGTTTGCTATTTCTGCAAGTAGTTATCTTTCCCACTTATCTTTGTATAAAGCTGAACAGTCTTCAATAGATTTGAATGAAGATTTAATTTTTTTCTCAAATAAGCTAAATCACAAACTGAAACAATATTCCTAATGTAAAAGTGATTTTTTTTTTTTAACTTTTTATTTTGTATTGGGACATCAGTTCAGCTCAGTTCAGTCACTCGGTCATGTCTGACTCTTTGCGACCCCATGAATCGCAGCATGCCAGGCCTCCCTGTCCATCACCAACTCCCAGAGTTTACTCAAACTCATGTCCATCGAGTCAGTGGTGCCATCCAGCCATCTCACCCTCTGTCGTCCCCTTCTCCTCCTGCCCCCAATCCCTCCCAGCATTGGGACACAGCCGATTAACAATGTTATGATAGTTTCAGGTGAGCAACGAAGGGACTCAGCCATACATATACATTATCCATTCTCCATCAGATTCCCCTCCTATTTTTTAAAAATCTCAAATTTTGTTTCAAATGTAGAACCAGATGTTTACAATGGATAGCTATATCCCAAGGCCAATAATAATAAATTTGAAATAATGAACAACATAAAGTCAAATGTAATTTTCCTTTTATCCTAATAACTACACATGAAGCCACAGATGAACCATAATTATGATTGCCTAATTTAGAATATCTTATCACACCATTCTATCACTGATTTTCTTGCTTGAAGAAATACCTGATTCTGCATATCTGAGACAGAAAAGGCAGCTTTGACTAATGTCTGGTGATGTGTTAGCAGATACATTTCTGTCTAGACAACAAATCAATATGGAGCCTTTTTTCTTTTTGCTTGTGTATTCATTTGCTTGGCTTATTCTAAAGCATTCACTTATGGACTTTTAGCCCACTCAGAAATAACACACAGGCAAGTTTGTTGGCAAGAAAGCACAACATTCTGACTGTCAGATGAGATTGTCTTTGAGGAACAATACTAAATATATAAGTGAATGTTGATGAGGGAGTGAGACTTCCTCTGCAGAATTATTAAGCTTAAACTTAAAAGCCTGGGACAGCAGCATCTCCTTCAACTGAATTTTGATTCAGGACTAGAGCTGAAATAGGAGCTGTTATTGCTGAGTGAACGATGTCACTGAAGACCGGAGGCAGAAAGGCCACTTGGGAAGCCATGAAAAGACTGAAGTGATCACCAGCATCAAGCATCTGACTTTCAGATTTCTAACTTCTTTTTTAATAGTCCTGATATCATCCTATATAACTGTCAAATGCCCAGTTCTGCATTTTGATCAAAATTTTACAGGGTTTAAGGCAGGTCTCTTCATGGGACTATGTGGAAATACTTGAAAATAAATGGATTTTATTGCTTTCTTCAGAAGAAAACTTTTCTTTTGTTAAAGAGCTGTTACTTGGTTGTTCTAACATCAGGCAGCCAAATAAATATGACTCTTATGGCATATGCTTATATAATTTAAATCAAAATTAGAAGTGATATTTTTCCTTAGCAGAATTTTGACAGCTGAATTCTAAAGTTTCTGTGCCTGATGTTATACAATATGTGAAAGAAATTTTTTATGTTCACTTAACATATTTATTAAATGTTATATAATATCAACTTTGAAGAGTGAAAATAAAATATTTTTTTAATCTCAAATGCATGTTTAGGAAACTTCATTATATCTATATAAATAGGCATGATGGAATAATTCCGCATTCTATAAAACACTTATAAATTAAATTAATATTTAATAATCATGAGAATGATGACAAAGGTCACAGTTAGTACTGAATCAAAGCATTTCAGGCACAAGTTGGCAGGTCATTTCATAGAATCAGATGCAAAGAAGGTCAAGGTAATTCAAGAAATAAGTTTAGGATACATGGAGCATGTATGCCTAAGACTGTACTTTTGTGGAATGTCTTAAGAACAACCTACAATTCATCATCCATATGCTCTTATGGAAGAATTCAAGCAGCTAGAATACTTAGTAATTTGCATAAAATGTGCCTAACGCCTAACAAACGCTTTGTTTTCAGAAGCAGCTAACGGTTCCTGTCTGTGTCTTCTTTTTCCCGTGCATGTTTTGTTCTGTTCCCACCCCGGCAGCCCAACGGGAGTAGCCAAGGCAAAGTGCACAACCCATTCCTTCCCACCCCCATGTTGCCACCACCGCCGCCACCACCGATGGCCAGGCCTGTGCCCCTGCCGGTGCCAGACACAAAGCCTCCGACCACGTCAACAGAAGGAGGCGCAGCCTCCCCCACCTCACCAAGTAAGTATGGCTGAGACAAGGCGCCGGTCACTTACAAAGCTCTGTGCACTTGAATCCACATCTCAGCTTGGCCCCTCACTGCATAGGCTTTAGTGAAAGGCACGATCCCTAGTGATGGTTGTAGCATGAGTTTGCAGAACCGAGACCAGATCAAAGCAGATACAACTCTAGGATACCACCAACTATACCAAGGGTGAAAATGACTGGGTGTTTGGGTGGATGAAATGGTATAACTACATGCCCAGGACTGATAGTCAAAATATGAATTATTTGGTGTTGCATATTATTTGAGTGGCTTCGAATGCTAGCCTCATGATCATCAAACAGCATCTACCTGTATGAATCTTATTAGCAAAAATTCCTCATACTTCGGTAGAGCCCTGCCTTCCAGTAACTTACAATCCAAGAGAAATGCATTTGATGAGCTACAAAGGCTAGGTACCTCATCCATCAAATAGAAAAATAAGTTTAGATCAAAGTAACCAATTCAAAGGTGAGTACATTGGACATTCACCAACAGTAAGAGCCTGGCAGAAGATCAGAGCTAGTAGCCATGGCAGTTGCCTAGCTAAGATTGGCAGAGGGAGGAGATGGAAGATGGAATTAGAGGGAAAGAGAAAAGAGCTCTTGGCTCTTCTCTGAATACTCTGGGAAGTATGATCAGACAATATAGGATTACTTGATAAATTAGAGAGAGAACAACTCTCCTGGTATTTCCTGATATTTTAAAGATGACAAGGGAATAGAAATAGGTTGAACACATAAATTTGGCTTTTATTATACCTGAAATAATGACAGGAAGAGTGGTGGCTGCAGACAGAGTTCCCAGGTAATGGATGAGACTACCTAGTCTTGATAGGGGGTGTGATGACCACCTTCTCTAAAGCACTACAGGGGGATCAAGGCATAGGAAAGAATGGGGACTGTGCCAGTGACCCCAAAGAAAGGAGGTCGTCAAGGAAGTGAAGCTGGACACCAGGCATCTACTAAGGAAGAGGTGAGCATAGACCAGGAAAGAAGCAGTAAGATCAAGAACTGGAGCAGCAGCTATGGAAATTGAATGGAAGAAAGCCTAAGAAGAGCTGTTTTCCAGACATAAGCTTTAGGCTTGGACAGCCATTTGGATGAGTATAGTGAAGGACGATTCAAATCTCTCAGTGTTGGGGACAGTGTGGTATTGAGTACAGGAAGGCCAAAGAGAAAAACTGAGCCTCTGTTGATCCTGTGTTCATTGAACTTAATGTGGGGGATACTGATTTCAAATATCTAGAGCCCCTCATGGGTATGGGTGAGATTCAGTTTATCTAGTATGTATTCATTTTGATAATGCATGCAGAAGTGAGTGCCATTGTGCATGGATTCTGGTTTTATAGCAAAAAGACGGAGAGTCCAGAGGAAATTCTGGGCAGGCTTACTTCTCTTGGTAAGAAGTGGTTCAACAAATGAGAAAACCCTGAGTGTCTAATGACATAGGAAGCAAACTAGGCTTGCTATAAGGATCTTGGAAGCTCAGTTCAGAAAAGAAGCTTCTGAGAAGTAGAAGCTTGTAGGTGAGTCCTACTTATTGTGTATTCATGTAACGTCTTCAAACTAGTCAGAGAATAACCATCCTCAAACTCTATTAAAATAATCTAGTCACTGGGGATATTGACTTATACATTGGCAACTACATGCTTATTGTGCTGTTGTACCACTTAGGCATATTGTACCACTTTTCTGTTCTCTCTATATGTACAGGACATTGACTGAGCTCTCAAAAAACCTTGTTTAATATTCTTCTTATTCTACATAGAGTAAGTCTAAAGGATAAGGGCTCAACCCCCCACCTTTCACATCGGTAGCTATATTTCTCTCCCAATCCCAAGTTTCCTCATTTGTCGAATGTGGGCAGTAATCCCTAGCTGGGCAAGGTTATGTGAAATCAGCCACAATAAGCACCGCACCACCACCAAATAAATTGGAGAATTATATTATCTCCCAGGGTCTTATCTGTTGGCTCAGACAGTAAAGAATCTGCCTGCCATGCAGGAGACCCGGGTTCAATCCCCAGGGTCGGGAAGATCCCCTGGAGAAGGGAATGGCAACCTACTCCAGTATTCTTGCCTGGAGAATCCCATGGACAGAGGAGTCTGGTTGGCTATAGTCCATGGGGTGGCACAGAGTCAGACACAACTGAGCAACTAACACTTTCACTTTCATTTCATTATTTACCAAAACTCTTAACTAGTGGAAGCCTCCCAGTCTAGGTGAATGAAGAAAGGTGTCTGCAGGACATGTAGAAGCTACTTAACCCCTCAATCAGATTGGCACCTCTGAGTCTCTTCCCTGGGCTTCATTCCATGGATTGAATCTAATGCCTTGTATGAGAACATACCCTCTGTCCTCTTGTGCCCAGCCTCAAGCATTCACTTAACATGATGGGAAGAGGTGTGGAGGAGGCCTTGCCAGATCCCAGTTCATTAGCACCGGGTTTAGAGACTTTTAGAAAAAGAATTTCAGGAAAGGGGAACCAAAATTTGATATTTACATAATAATTTTATACCTACTTTTTTAATCCTAGGATTCTAGGAATGTAGACAAAACCAAGGGTTCTACTGATGGCATAGAAAGGTTTTTTACCATCATAAATTTTAGCCCTTGTTTCTGGTCTTTCCTGGAGTTTGCTGAATTCACAGTAATATGTTATTTCAGAGCAATATATCAGCTATCTTCTACTTTATTTTTAAGACAGTGATAGCCTGGGAAACCTGTAATTTATAGTATAGGAGAAGCCTCTCAAATTAAAAATCTAAAAGCCCACCGTCCCACACTGGGAAAACAGCCTTCTTTCATTCATTTATTCATCCTTCATATATTAGGCATCTGTCATGTGCCAAGGACTGTGTTAGCCACTTGGGATACAAAGATGAATCGCCCCTTCTCCAGAGAAACTCGGGGTTTGTTGAGGGAGACAGCTGGGGTGCAGGCAGCTCGCGCAGACAGCACCGGGACAGAGGTGTACACCGGTGCCACGCAAGGACTTGGGAGGGAGGTGGGTCCAGGTGTGGGGCCTCAGGTGAGATTTTTTGGGACGGAGTGACTTCTTAGCTAGTTAAGGGTAGCATTCTGATGTTTCAAGCCTGAGGGAGAAGGTAGAACTTCTCCTCAGAAACCCGCTTGTGGTTGGAAGGAGGGGGTGTCTGAAATTGTATTACCACTGGATAAAAATTTAGAGCAGAGGTATCATTTCATTAATTCTGTGCTTTCTTAGAAATTACAACCACAGGGTGGTTGGATCCTGTTTATCCTTGTCAGTTTGTTAGAGCTCAACTTCAGCAAGAAGAAACATCACGACAGGGTATTAAGTACAGATATTCAACATCCCAACAGTATATCTGATATTGAGTCTTTTTCAAAACCACTAATTGTATAACCTGGGATAGTCTTTTCTACTGAGAGGTTTAAGATGATTTGCGATAAAATAAGGTTTTAAAAAGGAAAGTAGGAATCACCTATACTGACAACTCTTCTGGGCCTGGACTCCCGTGTCTGTTAACAAGAATAACCCTAACTGCTCTTCACACTGTCACAGACAGGTTGTCAGGACATAGTGGGATGACAGATGTGCTGTGCTGTAGACAAAGTCCAAGACACCATTTTGAATATGGTCATTTATAAAATACAAATGTGTGCCAGCCTAAAGCAGAGTATGTGTTTTTAAACTAATCAGTTGCCTCTGGCACCAATGTGCAACTTTGCAGCTGTGGCCAGGAAAACAAGGGTAAGACAGATTTGGGGGAAAATAGTTCCTATAAAATAATATGTTTTAATGGGAAAAATCCTTACCAGAGGCCTAAAAAAGAGTAGTGGGGGTGGAAATAACAGTTCTGTTCTCTCAAGGAGGACATTCATATTGTTGATATGTTTGGAGGAAGATTGATATATACTATGCCAAATCTCTTTAGGATACCATGACAAACAGAAGGAATAACTGGTAAGAGTAATTCACAATGGATGGATTCTACTCCTGCTGATTAACTGGGTTTAGATAACCAGTGAGAGAATATCGCTTCTTTGATTCATTCAGTAAATAGTTATTGACCAGCTAGTATGTGCAAAGCCGTCTTGTAGATGCTAGGATTCTGCAGGAAATGAAAAACATGAAAAATCCCTGATTTTGTGGAGCATTCATTTTACAGAAGGAAGAAAGACAATGAATAAAATAATAATAGGTAGGAGTGATGTGAGATGCTGATACAATAGTAGGAAAGTGAAGCACAGAGGGGTTGGGATTAGTGTGGGTTGGATACAGCCTAAACAGGTTGGTCGGAGAAGGCCTGTCTGAGAAGGGGAGGTTTGAACAAAGTTCAGCAGAGACGAGAGGATGAGCCATGAGACTGTAGAGGGAAGAGGATCAGCCAGCCCACCTGCGTGTTTGAGGCGCAAAACCCGGAGGACAGTGTGGTGAGACCATGATGAGTGAATGAATGAAAGTAGGGAGACGCCATGTCTGAGAGGTCGTGTGGATGAACAAGGATGTGACTGGGAGCTGGGGCCAGGGGGAGGCTCAGGCTCCTGGAGGCAGCACATGTTGAAGGTTCTTATGGGTCATTGTTAGGACTTTGGCATTTGTTCTGAGATGGGCAGCAGAGGAGTGACACAAGTTAGGTTTTAACGTAAACTTGTTGAAGGCTTTGCTGAAAATAGATTTCAGGGAGCAAGATTTAAAATAGGAGGGCCAGTTATGAGGCTTATTTTGAAATCAATGCATATGAGTGTCTTCTACAAGCCAGCCACTATTCTAGGCAGAGGGATCCAAAGGTGAACGGAGCAGACCATCCGCTTCCCTTGTGGCACTTATGTTCTAGAGGGAGGGGACAAACAACAAAGAATGAGTAAGTTAGTAAATTAGGGACCGGTGGGGCACTGCTGAGCCTCTAGCACCTGGGGGTAGGGAGGGCAGCCCTCCCTGGTGCACTGGGTTCTGGGGTAGCTTGCTTTCAGCTATTTCTGAAGTCCTT